ACAGAAAAAAAATGTATGTATTTTGTTTTTATAGGGATGTTTTTGAATCAAGCTTTAAAGGAGAAAATGATGCGGTTTTTGACACTGCAAAAAAACAGTGTTTTGTTGAAATTTCGATATTTTGTTAAAAGCGAATTTTGCGGAAAAACTTCGGTTTTTGGTCCCAAAAGTCAAACGAATTTTTTCGTAATTTCTTCGTTCTTTAACAAATTTTAGTTATTTTAATAATTTCTTTTACATTTTTTTAAATAATTTTTAATAAAACTTCCGTGTCTTGATCGATTTTCATGTTCGAAAAAGCGAGTTAGAAGAAAATGAATGGTATTTTTGTATATATTAAAATTTTTAAACATGGTTTTTACGTTTTTTTTGGGGGGGGTTTTCGACTCAAAAAGTGAAGCGGCTTTTGGCCTGATTTTAAAAAGATAATTTTTAGGAAATTTGAGTTTTTTGCAAAGGTGCGTCATGCGGAAAATAAGGGTTCTTTTCTACAGATTTGGCGTCTTTTTAACCGATTTTAATTTCGAAAAATATCTATTTTAGTTTATTAATTAAGTTTTCTTGGAAATCACAGAAAAAAAATGTATGTATTTTGTTTTTAATTATTAGAATAATTGATTTTTGACGTTTATTGTTGTCGTAATTTTTTTAGGTTTTTAATGGATTTGGCAAATGGGAACTTGATTTTTTTGACAAATGCGAACATTAGAGAAAATCATCAAAATTGTTTTGGAATTAACAAAAAAAAACAAATTAAGAAAATTATTTAGTTTTTTTTCATCAGGTTTAACACGAGGATTTTTGCGGAAATTTCGATGTTTTTCGAAAATCTGCGTTTTTTGACATATTTTTGATTTTTAAGCAATTTTTCTTCGTAACTTTGACTTTATTTAAAAAAAGCAATTTTTTTTAGCTGCTCGCCTTTTAAAATTTTGATAACAAACTGAAAAATCATTAACATTTTTAGGAATAAACAAAAAAAACGAATTTTTTTTTCTTTTTGTTAAGGATCTTGAAAAAATGTTCATTCCAATTTGAAAGTAAATTTTTGGGTAATTTTTTTACGATTTTTGGTTCAAAAATG